CCCCCCCCCCCCCGGCCCCGCCCCGGGTCCAGCACACTGTGCACGTGGCCAGTAAAACCGCCCACCAGCCCCGCTGAGGGCCACACTTCTAGTCTAGGTCCCTGACCGAAGCATCCTTTAGGGCCCTTAAAAGGAGCCTTCTCTGGGGTCCTTAGCTCTCCCACGTTGGGCCTGCTTACCCGCTCCAGCCACCCGGCTCCCTCCCTCTGCCGGGGTGGTCTGTGCCACCCGCCACCCACCAAGGGCCTCTGTGTCTGCCCAAAAGGGCCGTGGTACACGCTGGTCAGGTAAAGCACCGCGAGTCACCGCGTCATGACCCCCGAGACTATTGCCCCCTGTGTAGCGCGGAGCTCGCGTCTCTGTTCCGGCTCAGCCAGGCACCCCCTCCCCCCCTCCCTGTGCTCAGCCAGGCAAGGCTGTGGCCTGAGGGCTGGGCTTGTCACTGCCGCCCCGCCTACCTTCCGGTCCAGCACGGTGGGGATGAAGTCGTAGCCGATCCCTTCCACCTCATAGGCCGTCTGCTCCGTCTGGTTCAGCTCCTCGGGCTCTGCGAGGATGGAGCCTTCGGGGTCCACCCCGATGATCTGCAGAGTGGGCAGCCTTAGGGCTCAAGCCTCACCTGGACGTACCCAGCTGTCACCCGGGCGCGGGTCCCGTTCCCGGACCTCGGGCACGAGGCTCGAAACCCACAAACCCAGGCCCGGGCGCTGGGAAATCGCAAGGATAAATAAATGTCCAGCTCAGGGCACTCAAGGGGGCAGCATGAGGCTGGGGGAAGTGGCATCCTGGAAAGCTCCTCCTGCGCGGGGTGCCCCAGGACAGCCCCAAGAGATGCCCCCGGGACAGCGGGAGCCTGGGGCGAGGGGGGTGCTAGGACTGACCTCTCCTGGACAGTGGAGAAACGGGCAGAGAGGAAGGGTGCGCTCGGCACCTCCAGTGGGGGTCTCTCTGAGCCCCTCCCCAGGCTCAGGTGCCCCTCCCCTACTCTCAGAGCCCCGGTGGGGCAGCGGTAGGACCCGCGCCTGAGAGCTCTCAGCTTCTGGAATGACCCTTGGAGGCCACCCAAATGGACTCTCCCACCCCCAGCTCATCTGGGCGTCCAGGTTGCTGGGTCCTTTATCCCCCGGGCAGGCACAGGTACACGCCCCCCTATATAAGATGCAAGGCCATCTACGCCGAAGTGTCAGAAATGGGAACTTCCAGCTCTAAGGCAGAGGCCACTCTGTGGGCCCAAGGCCAAGGAGCCTGACAGTTAAGCCTCCAGCTGCAGTTCAATGCGCACACGTCCAGGCCCACCTCTCCTGGGCGGGGCAGGGTGGCGCCCTTGCAGCCCCTCACCTTGCATCCAGGGCACTTCTCCTTCAGCTTCCTGGCGATACCCGTGATGGTGCCCCCCGTGCCCGCCGACGCCACCAGCATGTCCAGCCTCCCTGACAGGGGAGAAGGCACGTCAGAGAGAACATCCTCAGGCAGGAGCGGCCAACCCCCACTCTTTTTTTTTTTTTTTTAAGCATCTTTATTGGAGTATAATTGCTTTACAATGGTGTGTTAGTTTCTGCTCAGCCCTCCACTCTTAATGAGAAGCAAGAAGGTCCTCAACCACAAGGAAGGCAAGTTATCAAAAAGGGCAAAAGCAAACCCATTCTCAAATTTAAAGCCTCTCATCACAGTCCTTCATCTTTAAGACACAGTCACAGTAACAGGGCCCCAGGAAGCCCCATTTAAGGCTAAACGGCAGCCAGTCCCTGAAATCCCTATTTGTCGTGAATCGTGAACAAGGTGACTTCCTGCAGGAGGTGGGCCCCAGGTGGCTGAGGGCTGAGCCCAGGGAGGCTCTTCACACTTTCTTAAGCTGTTTGGTTCAGACGACGTGGATAAGTGAACTGAATTATCAAAGGAACCAGAATAAACCGCTCAGCTTGGCTCAGACGTTATCTGGGCTCTCTCAGTGCCCCGGGGCCAGCTCAGGCACCTGCAGACAAGTCAGCGCGGGCACCCGTGCTGAGGCAGAAAGGTTTTTACCGAATGAGAGGATTCTCACACGTAAAACCCAGGTGAGCAAATGCCTGGACTTTGCTGCCTGGCTCCTGGGCACAGAACGAGGGCACTTAAGCCAATGCTAGGCTCCAAACAGGAAGCCAGGGGTGCCAAGCCCCTGGCAACTCTTCCCGAAGACCTCTTAGGGAAACAGCCCGTCAGAAAACATCACAACCCCCTTGGCCTTGGCACCAACTGTGAGGAGAGGTTCCAAGCAGCCTCATGTCTGTACAGAGTAAGCTAATTGCAGATGTCACCACCCCAGTTCTGCAGATGAGAAAACCCCAATGTTGAATTCAGTGCCCAGGCTGGGGCTTGAGGCCAAGTGCCGTTCAGCAACGTGAAGGCCCAGCTGTGAGCCCAGCACCAGCCTGGGACACCCTTGTTCCCTGCACTCAAGAGCTCCTACAGGTCTGGAGGAAAGACTGCTAGGTAAACAAATACAACCACATGATATGTTTGGTGCTATAGGAGAGGCACGGGCAAAGTCCAAGAGGGAGGAAACCGCTCTAGAGAAATGTCCTAGAAAGCACTTCATGGAGAGGGGATATTTGAGCTGGGTTTTGAAGGATTAAAAGGAGTTTATGAAGGAGCGGGTAAGTGACTTGTACACTCCCAGTCAAGACGGACAGCAGGGTTAGAAGTATACACCGTCACACTGCTGCAGGATCTCCTCGGCCGTGATGTCGTAGTGAGCGAGAGGGTTGCTGGCATTGCGGTACTGCAAGGAAAGAGAACAAAGGAGTCGTGTGGAATTCAAGGCACAGAACCGGCAGCAGCCACGGGGCACCAGGCAAACAGCTCAGTGCAAGCCAGAGAGGATCCCGGCAGCTCAGGGAACGGCCCGGGCACCTCAACAGACACCAAGCATGAAAACCAGCTCTCCACAAGATGCGATTTCTGAATTAACCCAGACGTGGAGTGAGTGACAAAGAAGAGCTTCCAGTCAAAAGGTCTGCATGTATTTTATGCCTGTAGAGAGCTTCCAGGGTCCTCTGCAAAGGGCATTCCAGCGCACTGAGCTGAGCCCTCGAAGCCGGCACACAGACAGCAGAGCCAAAGGCTTGGCCGACCCTGCCGGCCACACACTGGGCTGGGAGAAGCCAGTGACCGCGTCCCAGTGCGTCGGTCCCTCTGCTGCTCCTGCTGCAGATGTGACACCACCCCCAAGCCCCCGACAGACATCCCCCAGGGAAGGCCCCACTTGGTCCCAAGCCTCTGGGCACACACTCGCCCCCAGGGCCCGGCCCTCACCTGGTCCAGGATGTGAGAATTGGGGATCTCGTTCCTCAGCCTCCAGGCCACGCCCACATGTGACTCAGGGGAGTCGAATCTGGCGTTGGTGGGCGTCCTCACGATCTCGGCCCCCAGGGCACGCAGGACGTCCACCTGCAGAGGTTAAGTGGTGGCCTTCACCTCCCCACTGGGCCTACAGCGCAGGGGCAGGGGCCGGGGAGATGCCCGCCTACCTTCTCAGTACTCATCTTCTCTGGCATCACGATGATGCAATGGTAGCCCTTCACCGCGGCGGCCAGGGCCAGCCCAATCCCTGGGGACAGCACATGCAGTGAGAGCGGGCCACGGCGCCCCCGAGACCCCGCTTCCAGCCCCAAAGGCCCAGGGGAGAGGGCCCTGCAAAAATGCCCTACGTCATCCCCTTCTGCCCTCAAATGAGGGGATAAGAGGAGAATGTGGAGGCAGAGATAAAAAGGTAAGTGTGCCCAGAGAAAAAAGCAGGCTGCCCACCATGAACCCCAATTCCTCCAGCTCTTACTGGGCGCCTGGGAGGTGACAATAGCAGCAGACGTTGTGGAGCCCACGTGTTCCCGTCCCCAGCCCCACCACGGGCCCGGGGCACAGGCCCGGGCCGGTCGCCTCCTCCCTGGTTCCAAAGGGGTCAGGGCCGCTGCCCAGGGCTGAGGGGAGGGGCCACCCCAGTTAGTCTGAAGACAGAACGTGGAGCCAGAGAGGAGGGTTCTGGAGCCTCAAGATCTCCTGGAGTTTGTTTGCCCCACTTGGCTTTGGACCTGCTTGGGACCCACGACCCTTCTCTGGGTTTGGATGGGAATGTCTGTCCTGTGCCTGGCCTGCCACTGTGCTTTGGAAACACATAACTTGTCCGGTTTGAAGGTTCGCAGCTGGAGGGGAATTTTGCTTCAGGAGGAATCAAGCCTCAGGTCTCATCCACCTCTGATTTAGGTGATCCTTAGATGAGACTTAACGTCGGTGCTGGAATGGGTTCAGACTTTGGGGGGGCTGTTGGGATGGGGGTGAATATACTTTGCATTCGAGAAGGACATGAATTCTGGGGGCCAGAGGGTGGAGTGTTATGGGCTCAACTGTGTCCCTCCAAAATTCATCTGTTGAAGTCCTACCCTGCAGTCCCCCTCAGAATGTGACTCTAACTGGAGATGGGTCTTTGAAGAGGAGATTAAGGTTAAACGAGGTCATATGGGTGGGCCCTAACCCCATATGTCTGGTGTCCTCATAAGAAGAGATCAGGACACAGACACACACAGAGGGACGCGTGTGAGGACACAGGGAGAAGACGCCCAGGAGAGAGGCCTCAGGAGGAACCAGCCCTGCTGACACCTGATGTCAGTTGTCCAGCCTCCAGACTGTGAGATAATAAATGTCTGTTGATTAAGCCGCCCAGGCTGTGGGATTTATTACCGCAGCCAAAGGAAACTAGGACAGATTTTTACTACAAGGTGTAGTTGCCCACATAACAGACTCCAACATCACCAATGCAGCTGGGACGGCAAGATATCAGAGAAAGCTGGGCTCAGCCACACACCTGCACACAGGCATCAGGTGCCGAGCAAAGTGCGTGGAGGGAAGGGAAGGGCCAGCTGGACAGACCAGCACGTGCAGCCCTGGGTCACCCGGGCCGGGAGCTCTGGCCCGTGGCAACGCCCACCTGTGTTCCCTGACGTTGGCTCGATGATGGTGTCCCCAGGCTTCAGGGTCCCCTCGCGCTCAGCATCCTCAATCATTCGCAGGCTGATACGGTCCTTCACGCTCCCACCCGCGTTGAAGAACTCACACTTGGCCACTGGAGCCAGAGACGCATCATGAGAGAGGAAGAGGCCCCCGAACGCTAAGGGGTGCCTGCCGTGCCATCCCCTCTCCAGCACCCGATACGCCCAGGATGCAGGGACAAGCCTCAGTGGTCCTGAAATCATCGCCTTTCCACTGCCACCTCCCACACCTGACGTGGGTGAGGGTGCTCGCCCACGGGAGCTTCTGCCACCTGCCCGTCCCACCCCCCATGGACCATGTGGCAACTCCAAGTGCATGAAACAGAGCAGCCTAAGGAGCCCCCCCAACTGGATGGTTGGAGCAGAGCCACCCTCCGTGACGCAGCACAGTCCCGAAGAGACTTGCTGGGCATGCAGGGGGCGGCCGACTAGAGCCCAGGCTTAAATCAGGGCAGACAGCCCCGCCGTACCCAGCGGATCATGACAGACGACCTGATGTCCTGAAGCCACAGCTTGCCCGTCACACCCCCAGACCAGGACCCACACACCTTCCACACCCGTCTCCCGCCATATTTCCCATCTAGCAGATACGACGTCCTCTCCTGTGCCTAAGCCTCTGCTTCTGCTCTTCTTTCCTTGGGGGAGGACTCCCTCCCACCTCTCAAAAATATGCAGTGTTTGTAAAAGGGGGTGAGATGGCACCAAATGTGATTGAAGGACCAGGCCGGCCTGCAGCACCCACAAAACAAGCTCCTCCTGCTTTGTCCTGGTTTCTGAAATCCACAACCATAGACGGGCTTTCTCCCCTAAGACGCAGAGAGGGCCCTGCCGGGACAGTGAAGGAGGGGCTCTTGAATGTCTGACCGCTGAGGAGCCCTGCACCCCAGACTCTTGTAGGTCACTTGAATTACTTGTTAGAAAATTCTAATGAGCCCATGGGAAAGCCAACAGAGACGCAGGGATTCAAGCTGATCAGCCGTGGGCAAGCCAAGTAACCAACCGGAGGCTCGGTTTTTCCATCTGTAAAATGGACACAGTAAAACCTACTTCAGTGGCTCCCGCCAAGTTGAAGTGCATGCAGCAGGCCCATGCCTACGGGGTACTAGTTACTGGTCTCTATTATCTGATGGAGGAGCACAGAGCAGACGATAGCTCTCCTGGGTTGTTCTGATACACCCCCAGCAGCGCCTGGGAGTGTGTACTGCTTGTTGCTTATGAGAGAATTCTTCACCAGAGGCGTGCGCGGGAAGCCTCTGATGGTGATGCCTCTGGGGTGAATCGACCCCATGGCCTCGGTCCCTCCCCTAGGAGGTGTTGACCCCCAAGGACCCCGAAGCTCTCCCCTCCCCAGCTCTCTCTGCCCCAGCAGCACCGGGCCTGGTCCCCCGCAGGGCCTCTATACCTGTCACTTCCTCTGGGACAAGGCTGACATCTACCTGGGCTCCGAGCCGGGAGAACAGTGGAGGTGAAGAAAGCCCCCCACCCTCTTGTGTTCCTGGAAGCAGCCTCCTGCAAAGAAGTCCCTTCTCCAGAGGACTTGGATAAGACTCTCAGGTGATCCCCATGTGTACCAGACACAGCTCCCAAATCCCCACTCTGTGTCTCCTAAGTGAGACGCGAACTGTCTGTCTGAGCACCGGGGCAGCCAGTTCCTGCCCGGCTGATGGCTGGGACCCTCATCACAAAAACAGCCCCGGCTCTCAGGTCAGCCCACCCCACCCACGGCACGGCCCCTCCTGGCGAGAGTCCGAGACAGAAGGGCGCCGCTCTGCTCCTGCAGTTGCCGGCTTAGAGCGCCGCCTTCCCGGCTCGGGTTCTGCCCCCCACATCTGCCCGGACACGCTTCCCTCCACAATCCAGGCCTCGGCTCACAGGCCACGGCCTCCCTTACACCTACTCCGGCGAGGGCTCGGTCACCCTCCACCAGCCCGCCCTGTCCTGTGTGCTTCCCGACCTCACCTGACGTGGTCAAACACCCCTCCCGCAGAGTGTGAGGGGCCCACCCGCACCCCCAGCCTGCGAGCCGCGTGCAGGAAGCCGGCACTCACGGAGCTCACACTTCAGGCCGAAGTTCCTGCCAATCTTGTTAATCCTCACCATCGGGGTATCCCCAATTTTCTTCAGGATGTCTGGCAGGATTTTGGGAGATTTCTCCCTAAAACAGAGGAGTCCACGATTACTCAGAAAAACAAAATGGTACCAGCCTTGGCAGGCCAGCACATTCTTTTAAATAAATCAAGAAGTAAAGCAAAGAATTGCCTTTCATGAGGATCTGGGTGGCAAGTACACAAATCTACATTTGGTAAAAGGTCACACACATATGCACGGGCAAGTACACCTCAAAACCTATGAAAACGAATGCAGTTTAGTGAACAGCTGCACCAACGTTTCCGGGGTTTGAAAACGCACTGTGGTAGCAGATGGTATCAGTGGGCAGCTGGGCGAACGGCCCCACGGCCTCTCTGTATGATTTTTGCACCTTCATTTGAGTGTTATTTCCAAATAAAAAAGTTAAAACAAACACTGACTTCAAAACATCACGTCCTGGTCCACCTTTTTAGGTTTTGTTTTGTTTTGTTTTTGGCCTATGGGATCAAACCCGCGCCCCCTGCATTGCAAGGCAGAGTCATAGCCACTGGACCACCAGGGAAGTCCCGATCTTTTTAGGTTTCTGATCTTCAATTCATCTCCTCTTTCAGCACCTGCCTCCTGGGATACCTCCCTTCCTTTTCCTCGATGAAAAAACTGGTGGGGACCCCTGGACAGAGACCCCCCTCAGACGGTGTGGCCACCGGGCAGTGACAGTGACTGCAAAGAGCCCACCCAGGCACCTGGCATCACTCAGAGTGTCTGGCACAGGTGGCAGGAAGCCTGATACTCAGACCAAAGAACAAAGGCCTCTGGCGGGTCATCTCTTGTCCTTGGGGCTAAGGTCAGGCGAATTCCCAGGTGGGCCTCCAGGCTCAGAACGGGATTCGCTTCTCATGGACCAACTGTCCCCCTTCACATTCGAGTGACTGCCCCCCCAACCCCCCGCGCAGTGGTTCTTCCAGCTGAGCAGCTGGTGACAGGTGACAGGAAGGTGTGGGATAGCCCAGCCACTGCTCAGCTGTGTGCACGCCGTGATACCTATGTTTCCTGAGTGGCCCCCACGAAGTTGCCTCCATCCTCATCCTCAGGGACCGACTATTCATCCCGGAATATGCAAAACTGACGTGAGTTCCAAGAAACTCAATGGCTTCCTACACCCTGGATTTCTCAGGTGCCACCCCCATGGCTCTCACGCTTGCGTGAGCCACAGTCCCCACTGCAGGGACCCATTAACCATGTAGATTCCTCCCCGCTCCCAAGGTGGTGATCCAGCTCCCCGGGAATGCCGCCTTCCGCCCCGGGGCCCACACAGGCAGCAACACGGCCTGGCTGGAGCCCAGCTGCACCCTCCAAGGTGGCACGGACGCCCCGAGCCCCCCCCAGAGGCAGGCTTGGCCAAGAGAGGTGCGGAAGTCAGGGTGAGGGGAGAGCCGGGGCGGGGGCAAAGCGCTCCTGACCCCAGACTTGGAGGGAGACCAAGCTCTAGGGGCGACCTCGGGGTTGACTTATTAACTAGTTAAAGCCAAGGCAGGAGGGGTAAACACCTGGGAAGGCCTGGAGGGCGGCTGAGTCATCCACCCCCAGCAGAGGTTGTAGCGGCGTGAGAAGGGGGAGGCCCGGCCCGCCGCTGTGGAGAACTCAGGGTTCCTGACTCAGCACCAGGCCTTGGGGGGCCAGAAAGTCACCTGGGAAACTTGCCCGAGGTGATCAGGCCGGGCCTGGGGAGGGAATTTAACACCTTATCTCAGCTGCTTTCCCTGCGACAGCCCAGGGGGCAGAGCCCTACAGCCCCCTGGAATAACCTGAAACCCCCTCGCCTGGCAGGGCGCCTGGCTCTGCTTCCCCTCCGCAGCCCCTCCCCTCCCTCTGCTGCTCCCATTCTGTTCCTCGTTCTAAGCCCACCCTACCTGGGAACCGTCTGGAACCCCTTCCCCAGATACCCACAGGGCTGGCACCTCCTGCCCATCCAGGTACCGGCTCTGAGGTCTCCCCAGGCCGCCCGGCCACGTCACCTGTCTCATCACCCCTGTGCTCTCACCACCGGGATCGCCTAGGCTGCCTCGTCCAGGGACCCGGGTCCAGAGTCCTGACAGCAGGTGAGCCCCAGAGCCTCAGGCCCGAGCCCAGCTCCTCATAACCTGAACTGGGACAAGCAGTTTCAGGATGGGACAGCAACCCCGCCAGGGCGTTTTAGGAGGGTTAGGCCATGACGTGAAGTGCAGGTGTGATGCTAGGTTGCAGCCTGGATAGGATGGTGTCCCAGCCACCCCAGGCCCAGTGAGAAGCTCACGGAGCCATTTCACCCCCTGCTCTGCTTTGTTCTGGAAGCAGGGGCTCATGCCCTATGGCCGGTGGCCAACTTGGCCTCCTGAGCTCCCAGAATCAAGGTAAGTTTAACGCTGGGAGCTTCTGGGTTTGTAAATGTTACTTCGGTCCATTGGCCCCAGTGAGGAGAGCACCCCCTCCCCCTCCCCAGTTCTGAATCGAAAACCAATAATCATAAACGTTGGTATAGCAGTGTGTGAAGGATAAGAACCAAACATCCAAAAGGCATGTTCTTCTGACTCCTTTGTTATACTTCTGGGAGATAACACTAAGGAAATAAAGATAATCCTAAGATTTAGTGAACTCAGTTCGAGTTTCATGATGGGTCAGGGATTTTTGCCTTTTTTTTTTTTTTTTTTTTTTTTCCTTTCCCACTGGTTGATCTGATTGTGCACCTAGAACAGGGCACACATATAGCAGGTGCTGTGACTAAATGAATTGCATTTTCCACTGCAGTTATTCATAATGAGATCATTGCAGACACATGAATACCCAAGAGAGGGCTTAAAATCGTGGTTTATTCATCCAACAGTCTCAGTCCAACCACAAAGACCCCACTACAGAAAAATATTTCACGGCCTGGAGTTAGGCAGAGAAGGGCAGGCATGATCCTAATTACAAGAGTGTGCAACTGGATGGATCTGGATCAGAAACCTCCCCCCTACCTGTCACTCAGAGCGTGGGACCTGGGCACATCCCTTTATGTATTGAGCACCTGCTCTTGGGAGGCACTGAACTAGGTGCTGCGCTACAGCACAAACGAGCCTTGGCCTCTCTGAGCCTTGGGGGGCTCAGCTATAAAATACCTCCCACCCCAGCTCACCATCCATCCAGAGTGACTGCAAGGGATGGGGGTGGAGGGGTGGTGGTTCACACCCCAGGTCCCTGTGGCTACCTGGCTTCAGGTAACAAACTCTTCCCTCCATCTTATAATCATAAAGGGGACTCACAGAGCAGTGTGGTGATGTGGAGAGTTGGTGGCAGGCCTGCCCAGCTGCCAGGAGCACCTGCTCGGGGCATCGGGACGGATCCACAGGACCTCCTTGTCTCCCGGAGGCTCCTTTTCCAAGCTCGCTTTCCCCAGGTGTGCCCCTGAGAGGTGGGGGCACCCTGCAGACCTCTCTTCTGCTTGGGGTGTCTCAGAAGGCATGGTGGGAATCTGTCAAAGGCAAGGGGAAGAGATGCCGTCAGTTCAGGCCGTTTCCAAACACCTGCAGAAGAGCCTGCTTCTCTGTTGCCTGTCCTGGGAATCCTGCGCGCCCAGCCTCCCCTGGGCGTGGAGCTCCATTCACTCAGGTAGCTCGGCAGGAAAAGGCATAACTACGCAGGCACCAGCTGCTGTGGACAACAGCTGGACAGTTTCTCAAAGGGTTAAGCATACAACTACCGTGTGACCCAGCAATTCCACCCCTACGCATATAGCCAAAAAAAATGGAAACATACAGTATTTGCCCACCACATTCATAAAAGCACTATTCACAATAGCCAAAACCTGGAAACAAACCAAGTGTCCATCAGCTGATGAACGTATAAACAAAATGTGGTTTACCCATACAGTGGAAGAGTATCTGGCCATGAAAAAACAATGAAGTTTTAAAATCTTCTCAACATGTGAGCGCATGCACACACACAGACACACACAGACACACACACACACACACACACACACACACACAGCAACTATGTAGAGGTGATGAATGTTATTCATCTTGATAGCTTGATTGTGCTGTCTTTTCGTAATGTATACATAAATCAAAACATCACGTTGTACACCTTAAATATATATATGAATTTTATACATCAAAGATATCTCAATAAAGTTGTTTGAAAAAGACTACATTTAGGGACTCCCCGGGTGGTCCAGGGGTTAAGACTCTGCGCTTCCAATGCAGGGGGCCCAGGTTCGATACCTGGTCAGGGAACTAGATCCCGCATTCCACAATGAAGATCCCACATGCTGCAACTAAGACCCGGAGCAGACAAATAAATAAATATATATTTTTTAAAAGACTACATTTATATGATGGAAATAACAAGAGGAAGATGAAGATGATAATAAATATATTTTTACCCTAGAAAAGAAGGAATGAAACATCCTGCGAAGTCAAATAAGCCAGACAAAGAAGAATATTGCATGACTCTACCTATATGAGGTACCTAGAATAGGCAAATCAGAGAGACATGAAGCGGAATAGAGATTCCCAGGGGCAGGGGGAGGGGAGTCACTGTTTAATGGGTACAGAGTTATGATGAAAAAGTTTGGGGTACAGATAATAGTGATGATTGCACAACATTGTGAATGTGTGTATTGCTACTGAATTTTACACTTATGAATAAACAGTATATTACGTGTATTTTATCAAATTTTAAAAATCTCATGGAACTTTAAAATAGATGACAAAAAAAAAAAAAAGAAAGGAAGGAAGGAAAGGGAATGGGCACACTCAAAGAAGAGGCTGAAGCCCTGCCCAGCTCCTTCTGGTGACAATGAGCAAACGCCCACCTCTCATCTTCAGAAACCAGGACTGAGCTCAGCCTCCCTGTGATTTCCCACACTGAACAGAGGACCGGTCCACGGCCGGCACGGAGCCATCACTCACCAGGCTGATGACCGAACACTCACCACGGCTCCAACTCTGTAAGGAGCAGTGAAAACTAAATGGAATGAGGTCTCTTGGATGGAATCCCAGAACAGAAAAGGGTATTAGGGGAAACTAAGGAAATCTGAATAAGTAGGGACTTTAGTTAACCATAATGTTCATTAACTGTAAAAATCGTAAGATGGTAATAATAGGGGGAACCGTGAGTGTGAGGGGGGAGGTACGTGAGAACTCTGCTCTCTTCTCAATTTTTCTGTAAATCTAAAGCTCCCCCCACCCCAAGTCTCTGGAGCCCTGTGGGTTTGGAAGGTCCCTGCGAGGAGCTCAAGGTAGGGGATGTGGCTCGGGGTGACCTCTAAGTGCAGCCCTCACCACTCCTCTGGGAAGCTGGAGGGACCCCAGCCCCCAGCCTTGTCCCTCTGCTCCCTAGGACATTTCGACAGGCAGTTTGCTGTGAAAAGGTCGGGTGGCCCAGGCGGAACTGGGCTGAAGGTGCAAAGGGCCCCTCACTTGGAGGTGCACATGGAGGCGCGTGGACCCGCTGGATTTCTCCTCGGGAGCGGCCCCATCCGGGTACCGCCGCCATCAGCAAGGTCAGAGGCTGCCCCAGCTGGTTCCCTGTCTCCCAGCGCAGGGCCAGGTGCAGACCAGCGCCCAGCAGGTCGCCCCGGATGCCCAGGCCGGAGCCTGCGCGCAGAGGAAGCGGAGACCCCCACCCTTGGCCATCACATCCGTTTCAAATCCACGAGGCCCGCGGCGCACGGCTTTCCAGGAGAAACCAGCCTCCCAGCCGATCTGCCCCCGGAGGTGCCTAGAGCAGAGGTCCCTTCAAGTCTTTGGATCAGCAAGTACTTTCCCAGGCGTTCAGTTCCCCTCGCGAAACCACGCAGGGGCGTCCCGCGCCCTTCTTCCACCTTTCAAACAGCCCCCGAGGTAAGCGGTGCACCCGCGGGTAGGCGGTTCTTCCGTCGTGCAGAAGCGCCCCTGTCGTAGGCCTCTCTCCCCAACAGAGGCCGACAGGCCGGCAGCCCCCTGGCCAGGACACCCAGCAGACCGGCCAGGCAGACGCAGGCAGCCCTGCGCCTCCTATGTGGCGACTTGCCTCGCCTGTAGCGACCTCCCGAAAGGTAAGGGGCTGCTGGGAACTCGAATCGAGACCGACAGAGCCTCCGTAGAACGCACAGGCACTCGGCGGGACCCTCGCTGGGAGACCCGGGGTCGAACCCGCGGATTCAGTTCAGCGCAGCCCGTCTCAGCTCCCGGCACAGCTCCTCTCGGGCACAGCGCCCTGCGCGCCGACGCACGTGCGTGCTGGGAAGGCGGGCTCCCCTGGCGCGGTCCTGCTGGCTCCTGCTGCACCCCAAACCACAAGACCCTCCTGGGGTCACGCGCCCCGCGCCCCCCAGCGCCCTGCACGCGCGCACCAGTCGGCCCAAGGGGGCCAGTTAGGGCCAAGGGGGCGGAAGGTCGTAAACTCCCGTTTCAAAGGGAGACTTTTCAGGCGGGAAATTGAGACGCTACAGAGGATCTGGAGACCGCCCGGTCACCCGGCCTTTGGGAGGGGCTTTGGGGGATACCGTTTGGGATAAACACCCCCAGGTAACTCTTGGGAGGCTAAGTTTTGCGCTCCCGCTCCTTCCCCACTACTCCTCCCCATTCCCCAGCTCAGCCATCCGCCTTGCCTAGGGCTCGAAGTGGGTGTCTCAGGGCACCCTCCCCCATCCCCTTAGTACGTGATGGAGGCAGGGCCCTGTTTGCCCTGCGCGCCCTGCGCTCCCTCCCACCGC